GCTGCATTGCTCTTTGAGCGACTGCCAATTTTCGTCCTTATCCTATATGTATAAAGCATAAAACTATATTGAAAAGTAATTGAATGAATAGGAATGTTTCGATCCATTAAGAGGTCATAACGAGGGGGATGGAGGTGCTCAGCACTCCCTGCTAATGACATCCCGAAACGGTGGCTAAAGCCTTTTCATGTGGTTCTGTCGGAAGAACTGTAGAGCTGGTAATTCATTGAGGGAACGCAAAACGATATTCAGCATCACAACTGTACCTTGTCAGTGCAACGGTTGCAGTATTGGTTAAATAGTTAGAAAATATCAAGGGAAAAAACAAGAAAAACGAGGAAAAGCGTAGTAAGATGGGAAAGGGGACTGCATCTCGTCAGTGCAACGGTTGCAGTATTGGTTAAATAGGTGTTTATGCGTACTGAGCGGTCCTCCTTCCCTTATTTTTGGTGAAAAGGAACAGAATTTTCTGTGTGTTCCGTTTTGAAGCTAGCAGATTTGCAGATGTTGTTGAGCAAGTTGAAGAGGAATATGTCTGCGTTTGTGCAACCGAGGAAGAGGATTGTACACCGCTGGAGCTACCCCTTACATCGGATGGTTCGCTATCGTGTTCCACGTTGTCACATTCGTTCCCAAAAGCGATTGGCTTGAAATACAAAAATGAAACAACCGGCTTATTTCGTACCCTGCTGTAAGTGCCTGCCTTTTCTTACCTAAGTTTTACAGCGCCGTCAGTGCCACATATTTGTAAGTCGCATTAGCATTGCTTCTGTGTGATCCGTCCTGTTATTACTGTGAAACTATGATGAGAATAAACTGTATCATTGTGTAACAGTGTTCACTTCGTTCTCCCTCCCTTCCTTTTCGTTTTCCATATTTTCTAGCTTAGCTTTAAACAAATTGCAGAGTGGACGAAGAGAAGAAATGCATCCTGGCACCAAAAGGAGGCTGGAACGATCGTCGTTATGTTGCAATCTTCGACGATTGTAAGTATTGACAGCTATTTTTGCGGGGTTTTTTCTTGCATTTGCGCAAGTGCAGAGATTTTCGAAATCTCCTCTGTACATGTGTTTGTATGTCTCTGTCTCGCTTTTTCAGCGCTGCGAGCAAATAAGTTAGAAAGTTGAAAATCCGGGAACATAGCTTTCCCCCTTCCCATCTTTGCTTTACTAGGTTTCAGATGGATGAAAATTGAATTTGCATAACTAACATGCTCAAGACTTTTTTGTATTTGCCCTCTGTGAAAGCCAGAAT